AACGCCAAACTCTGGGGTATGCAAGTCAGATCACAAGAACAACAGCAAAAAACAACCAACTGAAGGAAGTGGCAACTCCCACTTCCCAAAATGCGTCCTGAGATAGAGGAACAGATGCCATTCTGGATGGAGATGTAAAGTCAGGTTGTGGTTCTGATGGCTTTATATCAGCATTATGAGGCTGGGAAGTGTTCCTGGGGCACATGGCTTCTGAAGTCACATAATGACGGATGATAATGAAAGAAACAAAAGGAACTTTGAGCACAAGTGTAGACTCAGAGAGCTGTAATGCCGAAGAGAAATGGTTTCATTGTGACCCTGAAGGACTGAAGCAGGTGCTGCTCGGCTGGTTGGCTGGCTGTGGGTTAGGAAACAGGCCTCTACTTACAGGGCAGAAAAACAAGGATGCACCTCAGGACTAGACAGAAAGATTCTTTCTTCTTCTGCAGCCAACATCAGAGTCACATGCTTTGGCAAAGGCTGACTTTAGAAATATTAATAGAAGTAAACCAGGAAATGGGATTGAGAACAGCAATTAAAAGGCTATGGCAGCTGCTGGTGGTGATAGGCATGGTAGTGGTGGTGGAGGTGGCGGTGGTAATGGTGGAGAGGTGAGGTGAGTGGTGGGGGGTTGGGAGGTGACGTGGGGGTGGTTGGGGTGGTGGTGGTGGTTATGGAAGTGGTGATCGTGTTGGTGGTGGTGGTAGCGGTGGTTACGGAGATGGTGGTGGAGATGGCAGTGATGGTGGTGGTGGTGGTGATGGAGGTGGCAGTGGTAATGGTGGGGAGGTGAGATGGGTGGTGGGGGTTGGGGGTGACATGGGGGCGGTTGGGGTGGTAATAGTGGTGGATGGAGGTGGTAGTGATGGAGATGGTGGTGGGGTTGGGGTGACGTGGGGGCGGTTGGGGTGGTGATAGTGGTGGTGGTGGAGGCGGTAGTGATGGAGATGGTGATGGAAATGGTAGTGATTAAGGTGGTGGTGGGGGTGATGGCCCTGGCAGTGGTAATGGGGAGGTGAGATGGGTGGTGGGGGTTGGGGTGATGTGGAGGTGGCTGGGGTGGTGGTGGTTATGGAATTGGTGATGGAAATTGTAGTGATGGAAGGGGTGGGGATAGTAGTGATGGAGATGGTAGTGGTCATGGTGTTGGTGGTGGTAAGCACCTTTGATTGAACACTCCCCAAGGGCTAGCCGCTATTAACATATCACCAACTGTATGCCTTATTGGTATTAACATATCAACAATCTGCAGCGTCCTCTTAGAGGTGAGGAAAGCAAGAGTCAGTGGCTTTAGTCAGCTTGCCCAAGGTCACGACGGTAGAAAGTGGCAGAGCTGGGGATTGTCATATTTACCAGGATTGAGTTACAATGAGTCACGAAACCCACGTCATCCCCCACAGACGCTGATGCACATTCTGCATTTTGCTCCCACAGTGGTAGCTTCTGCACAGAAGGCGGCCCAACTGCGTACACTGTAGTCAGGGGGATGCACTGTGGGGGTGGGGGTCAACACCAGTGGAGAAGGGAAGAAAGAAGCCCTGATTCTCCAGAAGGAAGAAATTAAAAGTTACCTGAAGCCTTCAATTTCAAGACTGCCCTCGACCAGTTTTGCCACATGATCAGAGACTTATTTATAGCCATCCGAATCCTGACACGTGCAATTGAAAGGGGAGAATATTTTTAAAGTCCAGGGTAAGGGAAGCCACTGGTAGTTATGAATTACAAATCCATTCCTCTCCTGACCCACGGATTCCGTCCTCCCCTGCCCAGTCACCTTAGGGCCTACCCCGACCCCACCGACCCCGCCGTGCAAAAACAACATCAACAGCTGACAAAAAAACATTCACAATTACAAATACAAAGAAAACCAGCTGTTGGCAGGGAATAAGGCAAGGTTCTTGCTGCTTCTAGGACTGTAAGTCTGGATATTTGCTCTGCCCCTGGGTTCCTTCTCAGCAAAGCTATAACTTCGAGAGGATTGATTTTTGATTTACACAGAAGGATTGCTTGGCTCTGTCAAGATAAAAGTTTAAGTACCTGCCTTGCCGCTGATTTGCTCTCCTCTCTATAAGAAGAGGAACGAGGAACTAGAGGGAAAAAAAATTTTTTTCCAACTTTGCAAACCAATCTATTCCTCCTCCCCTTTTGGTAAAGAAATATTTAAGTCGTATGCATTCTTGGAGAGAATTTTCAAAAAACACTCAGCCCACAAGAATTCTGTTCATCCCACAAAATCTGCCTTGGTCCTGCGTGCATTTGCTAACACTGCCTCCTCCACTTTCAGCCCATCAGCATTTTCTTCTTTTGCCTTTAATACCAGTAGGTTAGGACGGCACAGACATCTGCCCCTCTAGGAAACAACGCTCCATGCAGTGCTCTTTTCAAACACAGGCTCCCATGTGAAGTCCTTGTAAAAGGAATAGAACACACACAAAAAAAAGGCACATGTTCAGCTGAGCTTCATTCATTAAGGTCTCCAGCCAACTCCTTTTAGGCTACCTCGGTTTCTCTGTGATTTGGTGTTTTTTGTTTGTTTCATTTCACTTATTTATTATGGTTACTGTCTAGTGTTCTTTGGTTTTTCTTGTTTAAATTATTAAAACAAACAGCATCCATTGTTTATTACGACTTACTGTCTACATGGCATAGTTTCTGAAAATGAGATTAACTGTGGGACAGGATGTTGTCCCTTCCCAAGCAAGCTGGAGTGAAACTGCATCTTTCTCCCCAGAATCTAGGATTCTACCTCCTGCAGGTGACCACTTGGCTGCTGTGATGAGCCCCGAGGCCAAGGTGTCACCCGCAGTTCAGACGTAAAGTGTGGTGACTAACTGTCCCAATTCCAAGGGGTAAATGTTTTCTTAGTGCCGGGTCATTTCTATTCTTAACCTTACAGCATAATGCTGGGCTTACTCATGGCGTGAAATTCTGGTAAGTCCCACTACATCACGGAAGGAGATGCTTTTTCTAACCAAGCGGGTGAAACGTGCGGAAGGAATCTTTCCTTTCTCAACCCAGCCAGGAAGGGGCAGATGTTAGGCCTAGTTTAGAAACTATTGTTGGGTCTTTACTTCTAATTCATTTTCTGCGACAGTAGATAATTTGGCCCTGGCAAGGCAAAGTTGAATTGGGTCACTGGATCTACAAGTATAGAAACACTCCAAAGATGTTTTGCCGGGCCGGGTGTGGTGGCTCATGCCTGTAACCTCAGCACTTTAGGAGGCTGAGGTGGGCGGATCACCAAAGGTCAGGAGTTCAAGTCCAGCCTGGCCAACGTGGCAAAATCCCGTCTCTACTAAAAATACAAAAATTGTCTGGGCATGGTGGTGGGCGCCGGCTGCGGCAGGAGAATCACTTGAACCCAGGAGGCAGAGGTTGCAATGAGCCAAGATCTAGCCTGGGTGACAGAGTAAGACTGTATCTCGGAAAAAAGAAAAAAAGTTTTACTATTTTGAGGTATTTAAAATAAAATCAGTTGCAATTTTCATAGTACATGATATCCTCAGGTTTGTTTAGTCCTAATACCATAGGAGAAATATTTTGGTACCAGATTTTATTTTAATTTTGTTAAGAAAAGTGGGGAATTATTTTCATTGGTAATTTTAGTTTTCTTATTTTGTACTTAGGGATTGATATTTTCCTCCAAAGCAAAAATGCAATTTGACTAAAATTATTAATTTTTGGAGACAGAATCTCACTCTGTCAGCCAGGCTGGAGTGTAGTGACATGATCTTGGCTCTCTGCAACCTCCGCCTCTCAGGTTCAAACAATTCTCATGCCTCAGCCTCCCAAGTAGCTGGGATTACAGGTGTGCACCACCACAACTAATTTTTTTTTTTTTTTTTGGGACGGAGTTTCACTCGTTACCCAGGCTGGAGTGCAATGGCACGATCTCGGCTCACTGCAGCCTCCGCCTCCTGGGTTCAGGCAATTCTCCTGCCTCAGCCTCCTGAGTAGCTAGGATTACAGGCACGCGCCACCATGCCCAGCTAATTTTTTGTATTTTTTAGTGGAGACGGGGTTTCACCATGTTGACCAGGATGGTCTCGATCTCTTGACCTCGTGATCCACCCGCCTCGGCCTCCCAAAGTGCTGGGATTACAGGCTTGAGCCACCGCGCCCGGCTTCCACCACAACTAATTTTTATGTTTTTAGTAGAAACAGGGTTTCACCATGTTAGCCAGGCTTGTCTTGAACTCCTGGCCTCAAGTGATCCACCTGCCTCAGCGTCCCAAAGTACTGGGATTACAGGCATGAGCAAATGTGCCGGCTGCAATTCAACTAAAATTAAATGCTGGATGCTGGGGGATTCAAAGATGAGAGGTTGTCCTTACTCTCATGGTTCTCAGTGATCAGCAGGAGAAACAGGCTCAAAAACACAAACAACAACCTCCAATAGGAAAAAAAATGTATAATTCAAGCTTAAATTAATACGCATTGCAACTCTGGCAATTAATTTGGCCTGGAGAAGAGAAGGCAGAGAAAATTAAAGAGAAGCAAGGCCACAGGAGCAGGTTGTTAATAGATCAGCAGGATTGGCCAAGAGAGCATCTAACAGAGGAGATTCCAAGTGCAGGGAACAGCACGTGCTCTGACATTGACAATTCTCATCCCGCAACTAGGGTGTCATCTCCAGGGTCACAGTAAAATGGAGGTGGGAAGGGGAAGGAGCCATGAAGAGCATGAGACCAGGAGAAATTCACAAGGTGTTAACAGGTGCTACCTTTGTAGAGAAGGCAACAGTTGGGTACATTCTTGACAAAATGCCTCTCACTGTGTTTATTGTTTGACTTTATTAGAGCAATGGCTAATGTGTCTGAGCCGGCGTTTTAAGCAAAGGGAAGAGTGATACCTGGTCTTTATACTTGGTAAGAGATATTTGATGAACACCTGGAGATGTGTATCATTCATTTCATGCTCCTCACCACTGGAATTAAGCATAGAGTTACCCAAGCTTGCCGTGGTCCTAACACAAGCATTTTGTTGTTGTTGTTCTCCAGGCTTGTTTGAGACGACAGGAATACAGACGAGACCCAAATGAGAAGAAACGAGATCAGTTTTGGATGCAAGAGACAAGTTTTGAGAGATCCCGGTTTTCTAGTGCGTCATCTTCCAAACAGGTATGAGAATTCTGGGAGATAGTCTCCTGCTGCTGCTGGGTGGGTGGGTGTGTGGGTGTGTGTGTGTGTGTGTGTGTGTGTGTGAATTCTGGGAGATAGTCTCCTGCTGCTGCTGGGGTGTGTGTGTGTGTGTGTGTGTGTGTGTGTGTCTGTCTGTCTGTCTGTCTTAAGAAAAAGCTGACTCAAAAAGGAGATGTAGAACCCCAGGGGCAGGGCAGGGCAAGCTAGGGGCAGGAAGGAACCCAGGGCTGGGAGCTCCCTTCCTAGACAGCACCTCTGTGGCTCCCAGCTCTGCAATCTTCACACTTCACTGTGGTTGGGCCTCACTCTTCTTTCCTGTAGATAAAGGTCCTGACACAGATGGTCTGTGAGACACCATCCAGATGAGAAACGCTGCAACTCTGTAAGAGTTGGAGGCACTGGGCCTTCTCAAGCACAGCATCATCTCTGTGGCATATGGTCTAACTTGACGCATGATTGGACCTAGTTTTTATTTCTGATGAAGGAAGACAGTAAAATGTGGTAATAACCATATCATGTAATAATTGGCAATTGTTTAAATACTTTTGCCTAGAATGATATAGCAATATGATAACAGACTATAACAATATGATCATAAAATATTTTTGCCTAGAATGATACAATAACAATATGATTATAATAATAATATGATGATGATTCATAATAGTATCATGATAATAATAATTATGTGGTTACCATTATTTCAGTGCTTGCTACCTTCCAGGCACTATGCTAAACACTTTATACATATTAGCTTATTTAATTCTCATAAATGCATGTATCTACCATATCTATCTATCTATCTATCTATCTATCCATCTTTGCCCTGTTTTACAGATGAAAAAACTGGGCCTTAGAGAAGTTACAATACTTTACCTAAGATTTCACAGGCAGTGTGTGTTAGAGATTCCATTCTAGGCAGTCTGACCCCAGAGGAGGTCCTCTGAATTGCTAAACTGTATGATCATAGTTCATGTTTAAGATCTTCTCTAAGAATTTTACTTATCCTAGGTAAGACCTCAATACCACAAGCTGTATTCAACACTGATTGTTAGCATGGTGAATTGATTTAAGATGAGTAATATGCCTTTTATGAATTCCTATTTAATATTTTATGCCTGAAATATACTCTAGAGGAGGGACTCCCTCTTTCCTATCAGTGGTGTGAATCCTGAGGTAGATCCTGAATACATGATATCAATCCAGTTCTTGTTGGGACTTCTTTTTTAATCCAGCATGTTGACACTGCGGTTATTTAATGTTCAAAGGACACCTTAAAAACATCAGTGATTGATGTTTATAGATGTAGATGTATCCCCGGGAGACAGCTATGCTCTCTATTAAGGAATATAAAATCACACAATAAAATATTTCACCGAGAATCTGCAGGTGAAAGAGACTATCTCACAATATTGGAAACACCAAGAACAGGTCACCTGGATCTTTTCTGGTTAGTCAAAGACTAAATATGCCTGCTGATTAAACTTATGGAGTGAGATTAATTCAAAATTTAAATCTAGTTTGGCTAGAACAACACATTTTTAGCATTAAGATAAATTCTCATATTTTTACACTCAGAAATAAAATCAAGGACAGATAAGAAAATATAATTTAAGTCAAACAGTAGCATGTAGCAATCTTCCCGGATGGGAATTGCTAAACAAGTGGGCAGCTGGGTTCCTCTGCAGGGAACTTTCAGGCAGAGGCTCACGTGCAGTCACAGCCATTTTACGTGCAATAGTCATACATTTGGGATATTCAGGATTTGAAGTTGTATATTCCTTTTCACACTTAAGCTTATGTGACAAGCTGGTGTCAGATTCCTATAGTTTTCTTCTTCCTGCTATGCAAATTATGTATTTTTTTTTTTTTCTGAAATGGAGTTTCATTCTGTCTCCCAGACTGGAGGCAGTGGCATGATCTTGGCTCTCTGCAACCTCTGCCTTCCAGGCTCAAGCGATTCTCCTGCCTCAGCCTCCCGAGTAGCTGGGACTACAGGCATGTGCCATCACGCCTGGCTAATTTTTTGTATTTTTAGTAGTGACAGGGTTTCACCATGTTAGCCAAGATGGTCTCGATCTCCTGATCCCATGATCCACCCGCCTCGGCTTCCCAAAGTGCTGAGATTACAGGCATGAGCCACTGCCCCTGGCCAAATTATGCATTCTGTAAACCATCATTGCAAAACACTCAGACTACTTCCACAAAAGGCCATGGTTGTTTATATAAAAGTATGTGAAATAGCTTCTATAATACAGATTATATGGATCTTATTTCCCAATAATTTTATTATTCACCCATACCCAACACAATATTAAAAAAAAAAAAAAATGTGGTAAGACGCAAAACCTGGCGATTTTTCCTCTAAAAGATGAGGACAGGATATTTTATGTTTGCACTCTGACACTGTACCTCAGTATGTCAGAGAACAAGAAACATTGCTTACATAATCTCAATTTTCTCCAGATAATGATATCCCAAGGGTTTGAGCCATGATTGTACAAGCGTCCTCAAGGCCCCATCTTTTCTACCAAGAAAAGTGACACAATCAAAATTTTCCATGGTGAAATTCACCTCTGCTTTGCTCTCTTTGTTACAAATATTCTTTGGGGGAAACTGGAGGATTGCCTCTGGACACGAAAGCAGAGGAAGGGCAGGGTGAGAGGAAGTGTCGCTGAAGGCATCATTCCTCACAGCCATCCAGCTTGTGCTCTCATAGTGTCCATGCTGCCTGGCCCAGTCCTTCGAGTTGTGCTTGATATGAATGAAGCCAGAGATCTTTTATGAGACTCAAACCAGATCCAGGAAATCTTCAGCCCCCAGAATCATGGGTTGATTTGGAGATTCCCCTCCCAGGCTTGAACCCCTACCCCAATTTTTATTAAAAATGCAGTTGTTTAGGCACCAGGCGTGGTAGCTCACGCCTGTAATCCCAGCATTTCGGGAGGCTGAGGCAGGCAGATCACCTGAGGTCGGGAGTTCGAGACCAGCCTGACCAACATGGAGAAACCCTATCTCTACTAAAAATACCAAAAAAATTTAGCTGGGCATGGCTAATAATCCCAGCTACTCGGGAGGCTGAGGCAGGAGAATCACTTGAACCTGGGAGATGGAGGTTGTGGTGAGCCAAGGTCATGCCATTGCAATCCAGCCTGGGCAACAAGAGTGAAAAAAAAATGCAGTTGTTTGCAAACCTTCAGAGTATAGGCTGTCCATCCTGAAGGGATGGAGAACTTATTCAACCTCTTCCCACAGGGTCCACAACTCCAGGCAGGTCCCGGAGCTAGTCTCCCAAGGGAAGCTGTGAATAAGAAGGCTGGCATGTCACCAAAGAGAACCAAGGCCAGACAGATCCAATGTCCAGAGCTCGGTATATTGAATGTTGCATCAGGCACTAGAGTTGCAAAAGATTCTCGGTCAATCAGAAAACGGCAGGAGAATGATACAGCTCAGTGAGACAGTGTAAATCCAAAGCCTTCCTCCCTAGGTGGAAATACCCCAAGTCTTTTCCTCCTAGAGACCTAAGCACCTGAAAAACTCAAAATAGCGTTTGCCTTTGATTTGTAAAGGCAGCTTCCTTCTCTGATTGAGTGGCTATTATGAAAGTGACTTGCTTGATCCGTGGAAATTTTTCCACTGTTCAGTCACTTCATGCATCTCACCACTACCAAATTTTGACACTTACATGGCAATTTTCATCACTTGTTAATTCCTTAACCCAGACTCCAATTGTCACAATTCTGATGAGCCTGGAACGAACAAGGCATTTACCATCAAATAATGGCTTCTGGGTCGAGGTATCCTTCCAGACAGGTGCATCAAGGTGGGCAGATCCTCAAACACACAGTTAACCTGCTTCATCCTAGCATAACCTCCTCACCACAACCAGTGGCTCTCACCGCTGGTTATGCAGCGGTTGGATTTCATCTAGGTCCAAGATGAAGCCATGCCTATCAAGCCTGTGCTGAGAGGTTCTTTAGAGTGGTACTTCCTAAATACATTTACATTCGTGGCTTGGCATAGTAGAAAACATTTATCAAGGGCCAGCTCTGCCCCTCGTTACAGCGTGAATTCAGGCAAACCACGTGCAAGCACTTCAGTTTCCCATCAAGGAGGTATTTACTATGCATATCTCGTGGGATCATTGTGGAAACGACGGAGACTCGTAATGACAGGCTAACGTTAGAGCGCATTACACACTGCCTTGGTGTCCAAATATACTTGCAAGTGATGCTTAGACAGGTATTGGTGGATGAGAAGGTTTTGAAGCTTCTAGGATCCCTCAGCCCAGTCCCAGGCCACATTTCTAAAAGCCAACCTCATATAGCAACTTAATTTTAGACCTTTCCAGAGTTACATACAACGCTGTGAACTATTTTTGTTTTTGTTTGTTTTGAGGCGGAGTCTCGCTCTGTCTCCCAGACTAGAATGCAGTGGTGTGATCTTGGCTCATTGCAACCTTCACCTCCCAGGTTCAAGCAATCATCTTGCCTCAGCCTCCTGAGTAGCTGGGATTAAGGCAGGTGGATCACAAGGTGAGGAGTTCAAGACCAGCCAGGCCAAGATGGTGAAACCCCATCTCTACTAAAAATACAAAAAATTGGCCGGGTGTGGTGGCAGGCACCTGTAATCCCAGCTACTCAGGAGGCTGAGGTAGAGAATTGCTTGAAACCAGGAGGAGGTTGCAGTGAGCTGAGATCACGCCACTGCACTCCAGCCTAGGCATCAGAGTGAGACTTTGTCTCAAAAAAAAAAAAAAAAAAAAAAAAAAAAAAAAAGAATGGAACTGTTTAATCAGATTGGAATTTAACAGGGAAATAAATAGTGGCTCTGCATAACCCACTAGAAAGTGGGTAATTTAATAGACTAAAAAGCAAAGCAGCTTCTGGATATAAGGAGAAAGCAATGCCCCTCCTTCCCAGGCACCCGTGAGACAGCTGCTGGCCCAGAGGAGCTTGCTGTGATTGACAGAGGCACAG